GCGGAGATGGTCGCCCCGCGTTTGTACAGCATGCCGATGGCCGCCGCCGTAAGCAGGAAGGTCGGCACGTCGCGTTCGGGGTCGTCGCTGATGAATTCAATCGTGTACTTGAGCACCGCAGGGATAATGCCCGCCGCCCCGTTCGTAGGCGCCGTCACGATTCGTCCTCCCGCCGCATTGGTCTCGTTGACAGCAATTGCATACGCGGTCAAGTAGTCCATAGCGGGGAACGTGGTGCGGCGCTTTGGGGGCGGTGGGATGGGATGATCAAGAGCACCATGGACGCGGGGTGCCCGTCGCATGCCTGTGCGATTATGTGTCTGAGTCACCATTGCAGCTGTCGCGTGGGGTAGGGATGCATTGGGTGTGTTCGAAGGAAGAGTGCCCGCAGGATCGACATCTTGGGCTCCTTGCGTGTGCGAAGGATAAAGACCTCTTGTGAGTCGCCGGTACAATGCCGGGGCCCGTCGATGCAGCTTGAGCGAGCCTGGCAGCGTCGAGTCGAGCGGTGCCTGAACACCTTCGAGGATGCTCTCATCCATGACTCGCCAGATCCGAAACAGCTTTCGATATACTTCTTCCTCGGAATTCCCGTGGCTCTTTTCGTTTTCAAACACCAGCTGTGCAATGGTCAGGTTGTGTTTGTGGCACAAATGTAGTAAGCTGGCAGCGTCGCGGAATGGATAGCGAGGCTGACGAGGGCCAGAGGTGCGGGCGCCTTCGGCCTCGATGTCCGTGGGACCAGTCGACGCGGTCGAAAGGGCGTTTCCCGTGGATTCCAAGCCAAGCTCGTCAGATACACTAGCCCCGTCCAGGAGTTTAATCCCGAGCCCTGTCTTCCGATCTCCCGCGGCATCTGCTCGACGAATCTCCTTGTAGAACATGTTCTCTGTTAGATCAGCCGGATGGTGCCCTGAATCTTGAGTCGCTAGATCGTGTGACTCTTCTGAGGAGCCATTATTATCCGGCGGGGCCAGATCCTCTGAGTTGGCGGCCGCATTGTTCGAAAGGGCGCCGTTGACGACAAAGCCGCCACCGACACTGAAGAAATCATTGGTTGCCAACATGTCCCCTTCGGCGTCGAAAACCATCAGACGCATGCCGTTGCTGTGTAGAGGCAGTTTCTTGGCCCATTCCCAAATAAAGTCGCGCTCGTAGTCAAAGGCAATCTCTTTACCTTTGTGTCCCGGCAAGCCCCGGCCCAGGAAGAGTTTCTTGGTCGACTTGATTTCGATGAACCGCTTCGGCACGTATGAAGTGTCGACCGTCTCCACGTCCGCACTCTCCAGGCCGAGCAGGAGGGCCGACGGCGTCATGTGTCCTTCGCCGGTCAGAGCCAAACTGCCATAGATGGAAACGCGAATCTTATGGACTCGATGCAGGAGGTTGGCTTCCACGAGATCCGCGACAAAGATGTTGCCCGCGCGCATGGGACCGACAGTGTGCGAAGATGACGGCCCAATGCCTATCGAGAAGAGATCGAACGTGGAGATGACGGCGTGTTCGTAATCCGCCTCGCTATACGTGCCAGCATCATCTTCGCCGTCGTCCTCGGTATACTGTCTCAGTGGCCCTGTACTGAACGGACGGAAATGTTGTGTCCCGAGTATGGCTGGATGTTTGGTGGACCAACGCGAACGACCCCGAGTTGGTTCAGTGCGGCCATATCTTGGACTGACCAGATGTCCGCCCAAGCCCCGGGTTGAAGTCCCACTCGACCGCAGCAGGACAATCCTCTGCCAGCCTGCGCGCTTCATTGCCGCGAAAGGACCTGCGGGAAAAGAAACGACACAGGCGATGGCTGGATCGCAGACTAGCAAATAAAGGAACAAGGTATTTTTATGTGATGATAACGGATAGCTTTAGAAGGTGCTTTGGGGGGTGGCATTGTGGATTATCAAAGGGTGGAAGATGAGTGGGTGCCGCAGGCCGCAGGCGGGGAAAAAAAGTCCTGGCTGCGCCCATTGACATGCGCAGGCATTTGACGCTCAACAATTGGCTGCCGAGTCACTCACTATTATTTCATCCCTCAGACAGCGTACTCGGTTCATATGTGACATTCTTTGAGGCACAAGGCGAGTACCGGTTTCGGCATTGGGCCCTAGGCCATTAACCGCTCGACAGCTACCAGGGAAGGGAAAGGGTGGCAAGAGTCTTCTCTGTGCTCGTTACCATGGTCGAAACAGCGACAACAAAGTGAGTGATTCAGCCTCAAAAAGGGGGCGATTATGTCATGGACTGCTGCACCAAACGCCCCTTGTGGACGCTTCACTCCTTGACTCCCAACCACCTAATTTTCCAGCCCTGGACGCCGAACACCATCATTCTAGCTGCCGAATTGAAGCAGTGCTGTTTGTTTAGCGAGAGAGGCTCATTCTACGAGTTTGTACCGAGTACCACCCCGAGCACGCCTGGTCTGGGCTTGTCCGAGCGAACGCCTCAATACACTGTCCAGTTTCTGCTGAACATGCGGATTACCGAGTACTTACCATTGAGGCACCGCCTCCATCTACAGTAGTATCAGTTCCGAGAGATGTTGACGATATGGTGCGTATCGCGCACGCACCATCCCACTATAGACACTCACGAGAACCCACTTTCCCCTGACACGACGACGACAACACCAAATACCCCCACCACGCCGCGATCGTCTTTCGCTGCAGGTTGGGGGCGGTTTGGTTCAGAAACCACCCAAAAACCACATGCGCCCCCGCGTTTGGCCTCCCACCTCGACGTTTCTTTCTCAGCATGCATAGACACATCAGTCATTACTCGCTCAGGCCTCCAAGACGGAGATCCGCCTATGCAGCCATCGAACTACCCTGCGACCGGCCCTCGAACTGAGTCGCAACCAATGGCTCGATATGTTGCAAGCAGCCCAGGTGTGCGTTAGGTGTGCTCCGCCAACACACCTATCACTCTTTTTGCTTGCACCTTGGACAAAAATAAGTCCACCGGGGCGTGGAACGGTGCGAGCTCTTGCCATATATCCTCAGGCTTCAACCCCGAAGTCTCGTTGATGGGAGCCAGAAACTCATGCCCAAAGGTTAATAGATCTTCCCGACCAAAATGGCATTGCGTTTGTGCTTCTTTCTATTGGTGTTTGTTTCTTTGGTTTCGACTTCCACTGCTGCCGTCCATTTCACGCATTGGTATGGCCAGTACCGAAAAGTCTTTGAGCAAATCATGGAAGATAATTGTCAGGAAGAGTACCGGACTTACTTGCACAAGGTCGCCCCGAAAGACTATCTGAGCGAATATGTCACGCCGGTCATCGATTGCATTCTGGAGAATCTGAACGAAACACGCAAGTCCAACATGGCGGCCGCTGCTGTGCTGCTCGGTCTATTACCGACGACTCTAGGTCTTGTTGGGTCCACCACCGTGGAAGTCGGCCTAGTGGCTCTACGACGACCATTTCTGGCCTTCCTGCTCGCCGCCGGGGCGCCAGCCGTCTCGCCCATCCGCACGTTCGATTACATTGACACCACGGAGCTGTTGGAGAGGAAACCCAAGACCATCCGGATCAAGCGAATGGGCTGGTCGTCGGGCTTTCTCATCTCTGTGTTCCAGTACGTCATGGCAGCCGCCGCGGTCGTCAACCTGGCCTTTGTGAGCTACGAGATCTGCATTCAGACCATCTGCTCCTTTGCGCCAGAGACAGCATACCTCCCGGCCCTCTGGGCATTTTTGGCCGTTGCCGTACACTTCTTTGGCACCTGGTCGGTCTATTGTCGAACCCGGATCGTTATCCGACCGAGTGAGAAGCCACCGACAGGGCTGTGGCAGATGCTGTGCGCGGAGTTCACCCCTTCGGCCTCGCGAAAACAAGCGGCACAGCTCGAGATCAAGGAAGAGACGTACCTGTACATCTTCCTCTCGTGGTTCACCGCCACGGGCACCGTGCTGCACATCGTGTACGGGACGCTCGTCTTTTCGAGCCTCATCTTCATCTCCACGAGCGACGCCACCGCCGTCGTGGGGAGATACCTGGCCTCCACCCTGGTGTGTCGCGTGATCGTCATGTACGAGCTGAGCGGGCTCCGAGAGGTGCTGGACGATCGGCGACAGGACTCTCATCATGCCCACGGCGGGCCAGAGCTCATACCCATGGAACCACCCTCGGGGAGCGGGAGCATGTCGTTTGGTGAGCGTCTCAGCAGTCCTTGGAAACGGGGGTCTTTGAGCCGCACAGACGAGTGGCAGCCCCTGCGCGGGACAGACAGCCATGGGGAAGCGTGAGTGTAAGTGTGTGGGTGTGTGTGGGTGTGTGTGGGTGTGTGTTTGTGTCGAGAAAATGTACCTTTTGCTTTTGGGCAGCAGGAGAGCCTGGGCTGGTTTGGGTTGGGCTCTGGGAAACGGAACACGGCAACGACAACAGGCGACGGCACTGGCAACGGGTCAATTGGGCTATGGGATCTGGGATATGGGATATGGGCAATGTGGATACTGTTTCGAATTGAAGCTATGACAGACATTATCGGGCAGAATTTCTTGACCGTGAGCATTTATTGACATGAAACGTGAGGGACTTTGGTGAGTGAATGAGTGAGTTGGCGAGAGTGAATGGGGTCGGTGTATATAGATCTATATAATGCTTGAAGGAAAGGGGAAGGAAGGGTCCTTTGGACTTGGTAATGAATATACCACAAACCATATCAAGGAAGTCTTAGGGACTGGTGGAACTCAGTTGTCATCATACCAACGGGTGTGATTTCTTGCTTGCTTGATTGCTTGAATTGTATGTGTCCTATCTCTTGGTTATACCTCATGCCTGATGTTTTATAGCTCATACCTCATTCCTCATTTCTCATTTCTCATACCTCATTCGTAACCTCATTCCTTATACGTAGGTACCTAGGTAGATCATCTGCCCTCGAGTATTTCCCGTACATACCACACACATGGACAATTCCACGACCTCATTCCTCATTCCTCATTCCTCCCAACACCCCCTACTCTCTCTATTCACCAGGTAATACAGGATGGTTTTTGGTTTCTCATAGAATCGTAATCTCGTACTTCTTCCTCCCCGTCCCCATCTCTGGAGAAGGCGCGCCAACCCCCTCACACTGCGCCATCGCATTCGCGTGCGCCTCCCCACCCGAGAACTCATCCCCCGGCGCATCGGCTGTGAACGTCCCCCAGCGGCGGAACTGCATCTCGCCCGCGCCCGCGCCCGAGCGGGGGACGAGCAAGAGCCCTCTATAGCGCGGGACGCCGTTGCGCGAGCCGCGCAGGATGGGCAGACAATAGATCACGGGTGGTAGGGAGGTTGTGGGACTGAGGCTGAAGGTGTCGTCGGGGCGACAGATCGCGGCGGAGACGGTGCGGTGGTTGATTCTCAGGGCGAGACCTGGCATCGCCGACCCGGGTTGGTGGGCGCGTGAGAGGGAACAACGCACAAGTGTGCCTAAAAGTCGGATGTGGCCGGCGCGGAGTTGGGACATGTGGTCGCCACTACCACCACCGCCGCCGCCGCCGCCGCCGCCACCATTATTGTTGTGGGTGTTGTGAGTGGTGATGAGAGGGATCACTGTCGCGCCCGTCACGTCGATCAGCGTGGTGGTGGACGGCGAGGACCACGGGTCAGCGTCGCACGGCACGGTCGCGAGGCGGGAGGCCCATGACCAGCTGGGCGCGATGTATTCATTGGTGGTACCGGTACTGATGTTGGACGCGGCGGTCAGTGATATCTGCGCGTCCTTATGTTCATGGCCGTGATGGTGATGGTGATGGTGATGGTCCTCCTCCTCCCGCACATCCCAGAGTAATTGAAAGGGGAGATCCTGTTTCCACAGACCGGCGAGGTACGTATCGTTCCGCATCAGGCGACGCTGCAGTTTACGCGCAATCCCCGACAGCGCGACGAGCCTGTCGGTGCGTCTGCTCAGTTGGCCGGCCGAGTATGTCTCCATGACCTGGTCCCAGATGCCGTAGGGGCCGTCGCGGCGACGACGTTGACGATGATGACGGCCACTACGGCCACTGTCGCTGCCGCTACCGCTGGGACTTATTCCTTGCTGCTTCTGCTCCATGTTGGTCGGCAGTCCCGAGAACGGCAACAGCTGTTTAAACTGCTCGCCCATCCCGTCTGGGAATCCCACGGGGAATGCCTCTGAAGCCTCGAGCCCCGAACACTCCCAGTACAGCTGGCTAGCCCCGAAATGCAGCACGCGCGGCGACAGGAGTCGCTCCTGGAGAACCCACGAACGGCCATTCCAGGGTGACCGGGAGACGTTCGTATTCCAGTCCTCGTGGTCGACGCAGTACATGGACCTTTTCTCCCCGGTGTTGGACACCACAGGCACGGCGCAGGGGTGGATCAGACGAGTGTCGCGGTTGGAAAAGAACCCGCGGTCCCCATTTGCTGCTGCCGTGGCGGCTAGCGTGCAGAATGCGTTCTGGTAGATGTCGCCCATGTTGGCCGACTCGTGTCTCCAGTCCTCGGCGGAGTCCTGGACGATGCACAACGAATCGATCCACAGGTACCGCACGGCGAACTCGTCCCAGAACCGCCTCGTCACGGCGACGGCGTCGCGGAACGTGCGACACAGCGTGCTGACTTCGACACCCTCAAATAGCATGGCCGCAGATCGGGACGTCAGGATGACCCGTGGAGGGGCGGCGCCCCAGCAATGGCTGAGAGCGAGGTACTCGATAGCGTGGGCGTCGCCGATGCTGTCGACCGTGCGCAGCCGGACCGTGTCTGTCTCGCCGACTTCGAGGAGCCGCTTGGGGAGCTGTCGTCGACGCAGGTTCAGGGAGTGGGGTGAACATTGACTGTGTTTGGAGATGCATGTCCACATCCACGTCTTGAACGTGTTCCAGCTTTCGTCAGACGCGGTCGTAGTAGAAGTAGGCGTGATCCGGGTTTGTTGTAGGAGTGGTTCTGCCTCTGATCGCTGGTTAGTTCCCATAATGATAGCATTAAACCCCGATCCAAGAAACGAGCGTCCTTTCGTAGGCAATCAAGACCATCTCAGAAAAAGAAAGACTATACCTTCACACCACAACAGCCTGAAATGTCTCCTAACAGGTTTCGCGTGCTCGTCAGGCCTTGTCAACCCCAGAAAATACTTGTACTCGACCAGAATCCTCTTCGGACACGGTCTCGGAGAGGAGAAAACGGCTCGATCGACGGTGAAGAAACACGGCATCCAGTGCGCGGGCCGGTCGTCGCGCAGGATCTCGTCCCAGAAGGCGTGGACTCTTGGTGGAGCGGCGGCCCAGAGTAACATGCAGAGGTGGCAGCCATCGAGGGCGGACTTTTTCAACCGCGGGAGGTTGTGGTGGGTGGCCTTGTAGAATGGCGATTCAGGGGACGGGGACGGTGATCGTGAGGCTGAGACTGAGACTGAGCGAGCCTCTCGTCTGTTTCCAGGGGCGAGGTATTCATTCTGTCTGCCGCGATCAATAGTGTCGATGGTGTTGACAGTGTTGGTGTTGGTCTTGGTGTCATCCGGCTCCCGGAACACGTTGATGCACGCACTGCATAGCATGTCTTCTGAGTCTCGATCCTCCTTCTTTCAATCGCAGACCAGACCAGACCAGACACTGCACTGCACTCTCCAAATGTGCTATCCTTGTGCGCTGCGAGGTTCAACTCTGGATCTTGTCATTCATACCGAGTATTAAGCAAAAAAAAAGTCGCTGACAACCGACACCAAAAGCTTCAAGGCTCAAGGTTATTTGTCTGGGGCCAGGGCCAAGGGAGACCAGCTGAAATAGCTGAGATACGTACGAGTCGAAGTACCTCAATAGTCACTAGTTAGCTGGCTCTTGATGGCCCCTTGAATTTGGACCCTTCTAGACCGAAAACGACTCTAGACCTCACAACCTCGCTAATAAGACCCTGGTCTGTACGAGGTACAGGGACGGGTAGAGGTCCTCGCCAAGGGTCAGTCAGGGGCCCGAGACCAGTCGTACTGTACCTCGTACACCGCCACAGTACATAATTATAGACGGAAAAGAACAGTTGAGCTCGGCAAGGACTCTTTCTTCGGGATGATTTGATGGGTGTCAGTCCAGGCAAAGTCGAAAACCTACCAACACTTTACCACCCAACGAGTTCCTTGGGTCGAACGTATTACATCTCACGTCCACCATGCCATACCAGGCGAGAGCGAGTATTTGATACAAAGTATAAGACACCCCCAAAACCTACACATGAGGTACTACCAAGGCTGCTTCATACATAATCTTTACAGTGACCGAGGACAGCCAGCACCTAAAAAGGGGGGCCACGTACATGGCAATCCTGCATCGTATTCCATTTTTGTTCGCTATATGGACGAGTGGCGTGTATCTATCTAATCTGCCTACCTACCTAGACCTAGGAATCTGTCTGGTATGATGTCTCATAGACACAAACACAAACACAAAAGGAAATAAAGAAAAAAGGGATGCGCATCGTTCCATCCATCTATCAAACCAACTCGACGACGTAACATAAGGAAGAGAGGACGGACCCAGGATGAGCCCAGGGTTGGTCCTTGTTGTTTGAATATGCAGGGCCGTGGAAGCTTGTTGAGCCTAGTACATCTTCAGAGCTCTCATTGAGGAAGGGCACATGAGGCGAGGCCAAGGCATCAATCACTAGCCTTTTCTCTTGCTGCATCTGTGTTCAGCAGAGCCTTTCTGTCCTTGCTTCGGCCTCGCCTGCTGTTGTGTCTGGTGACTTGTTTTTCCCCGCTGGGTCTTTTGGCCCCCTTTTCCGCGTCCGTAGTAATACTCCTCCACGTGGCGTCGGATCTCTGCGAGTCGACTCCGGTCTTCTTCATATCTATCCCGGAGCACGTCCCCGTCGCGCGCACACCTCCGCAGGAGCGTCTCCCTATCATATTGTTCCCTTTCGAGCCGCTCCTGGTCGTCCTCCCAGAATCTCCTCTCGGCTCTCGATCTGTCCTCTTCGACCCTTTCGCGGCATCGGTCCGCTATCCAGCCTTCAGCCCATGGGATTTGCTCGTGATAATATCGTGCCCAAGAGATCATGTCCTGCTGCAGCCGCGTGTGTTTCATGGACAGCGTCTCTCCCGCCATGGCCAAACCCCCTCTGAGGTTGAAACTTGGCTGTGAGTCGTAGCCCAGGTGAGGACCGCCACCAGCAGCGTAGCTCTGCCATGCTGGAGGGAAATTCCAGAAGTTCCACATCTGACCGCCAATGCTTCCTGGAGCTCGGAGGGCGTGGTGGTTTGCCTAAGCGTATTAGCCTCCCAGTGTGTGTCTTGTACTATCAAGGCTTGTGCACTCACAGGTTGAGTGGCAGGCCCAAAAATCGGGTGTGGCATGATCACGGTATGGGGATTCATGAGATTCTCCAGGAAAAGCATTGCGTGGACACTTCCTCTCAAAAGCTATAGGTCAGTGCTACTCAGATGCGAGTAGCAAGGCTTGAGCAGGAAAGAAAGAAGTAGAGAACTTGGTGAAAACGAAGCACACAGTTCTGCTCCAAGGGCGGAATCCAGCTCAGTATTTATCGATTCAGATTAGGAGTCGGCACATCTCATGGCACGGATCAGAGCAACAGGGGGAGGGGGAGGGGGAAAGAGAGATACTGGCACCCGGACCAGCTGCCACCAAATGCAGGAAGACACTCCGGTGCCTCGTGATGAGAAGCCTGCTGCTCGCTCCACAGTTCGTATCGAACCACTAGTCTGGCGAAGATCCTGATACCCACTGTGACAACCACCACTATAGGTGGATGATGAACCAGAAAGGTGACGCTAATGATCTGAGGGTGTTTGTCCTGCATTTCCTGAGATGCCCTCTTCGAGCACGGAACAACAGAAACATTGGCCTCTTTGCTTCCGACATGGGCCGTGCTTCATCTGTCTCGGTGGTTGGGCGGTCGTCAATATCGCGCCTCTTGGTCAAGATGATCTGTTGTTCGCGTAGAAAGAATGGCAACAAAGATGGTGGTGCCATCTGAAGGCGAAGTGTATCGGGTGTTCGAACCTAGCCCACCTGTTTGATTGCCCCAGCCAGGAATCCAGCCCGGGGACGAAGTGGGTATGCGGAAACTCTAGAAACTGCTCTCGTACTTGGCTCTGTGACTCCTTTTTGCTTCTGACCGACGTGTGGAGTACTTCAAGCCCCGAGAAACGGCTGCTTGTGCCGCTGCCCCGGAAAGTAAAGCGGAAAAGACGACAGAGATCCTAGTCTATCGGCAACTAGGGGCGGTCTAAGCACAGACCTCGCATTCCAGGTGTGGTGCCCATGTGCGCCACCTCCGAAGAGTCAAAACCAATTTGGTGTGCATGAGTACGACGTTAGGGTCCTCCTGCCCCCTCTTCGCCATTCGTCGAGCAGCAAGGGGCCCTGCTCAAGAACTTAGCACATGCCAGTGACCCCGAGCAGAAGCGTCATGTGAGAAAATTGTTTGGTATTTTGGCCTCTTGAAAACTACCTACTCGTATTGGACTGATGACATTCCCATGTCCGGCTGATTTCCCAAGAAGGGGCTTCTTGTGGAATCCATGTGAAAGCCCTCATGTACTTGGCAGATTAGCGCCCATCGTGGTGACAGATACGCAAGTGGTGTCTCGTTGGGCTGGTTGTGGAGCTAGCAAAACGCATGGGTATTGCAAGGATATTGACCCCAGGAGCCTTGAGCTGGAGTGGCTATTCGTATCTGCTCGACTCGTTCGATGCAGCTAACATGCAGAGGGCATTGACACAACCCTGGAATGCGTCTTTTTGCTCCACTTCAGGGTAGGGGGTGGTAGCAGCTTCATGGAAGTTGGTACGGCTGACCTGTCTCTGGCCTTCTCATACGCTCCCCGGCAATGCCGAGCCCATGGTCATCAAGGCAGCGTTGGATAGCTTCTGTCTCCACGTCAACTTGGGTCTGCCTTTCTTTCGAGCTTCTTCGATGATCTCCTCTGCCGTCTTCCCATCGGCGAATATTGGGCCATGGCATCGAGAACCGGGTTGCGATGTTGATGCGGGCGTGACGTGCCCACAGTTTTGCGTCTGGGTAGGTGATGTTTGCTGCTCCTTCCCCTCGTGCAGCTGGCTCGCGTCAAAGTATTCTGCAAGCCTGTCGTCATCTCGGCTCATCATGCCCTCGTTGGCTGGAGAGCGGTCTGGATTATCGTAGTCGACTTGGTATTCTGGCACGGCTCCCTCAGCGAAAACCTCCGAGTACACAGGGAGCGCCTCTCTGCCTCGAGTCCATCTATCCGCGTTTGTGAGAGGATCCCCAAGGCGCCATTTTTGTACATCCTCTGGTCTAAGCAGACAATCTTCGGCTGGAGCATGCGTCCCTCTGTAGTTGCCATCCCTGTCCTTAGCATAATGTTTTCGCCAGGTGTCGTAGGGGATTTGACGCATCACAAATGGCGGGAGATCATCCTCCGAGTCCCGCCTTTTCCGTTGCGTGGTGAGGCCAACTTTACGAAATAGACTCTTGCGTCGAGAGGGCTCCTCCTCGCGCACGGCTTTGTTGTGTTCCCAGTTAAGGGCCTCATCGTAACTGAAGGCTTCTGACGCGCCGATGCCCGTGGGTGGAGCCATCCCAGCGGGAAGGCGTGGAGGTAGAACGGCACAAGATACCATTTTGACACTTGGTGGCGCTAAGTCGGACTGTGCGCCCGCTCTGAGGCGCCCTATAGAGTCACGGCGGGACATTGTAAATGTGAGGTTTTTCTTGATGAATGAAACCACCAATTTACCACGGGCGGTGATGCTGTTTTGATGTCGAGAAAGAGGTCCGCTCATAACGAGGCAGTGCTGGGGGATCACGGGACGCTAGCTCACAAACCACCAACTTGAGGGGGTACTGGAGGTTACATCGCGGTGGCGGAGTCAATTCTCGATGGTACTTGTAGAGGGTCCCTTAACCCCCGCAAGCCCGTGGTGCCCTCGACTAGAGCGTTTTGCGGACAAAGGCACGGGGGCTCGTTTGCTTGAACCCTACTCGTCTTTTGAAGTAGCTTCGGACCTAGCGATCAGCGCTGCAGCCCAGCCCAATTTGCACGAGGTAAATTCCTTGCATTGCGGCACACACAACCACATGCACACAACTCTTAGTTGTCTCATTATTCGAGGACTGCAAGGGGTTGGAGGTTTAGGTGGAGATCAATCCAATTGGTGTGAAGTAATAATTTCCGTTGCTGCCAACGTTTGCGAGTGTAAATCTGAGTGTGAAGCCATTGAGCATGATAAACCATTCGTTTGACTAGACAACGCTGCGCTAGTGTTACGCCTATATCACTGGGGGTCGAGGTACTCGTAGCTGCCACCCAGCTGCATAGATGGATGATGCTCTGTCATACGGTAGGATCGCAGACAGTCACAGCCTCGCCACAACCCCGCAAGGCTCTGCGTCTCCTATGCAGGCAACTTAGCCGGTGCCAAGTAAGCCAAGGCTGCGCCACGCTAACTTTGTATCTTCACTTTAGTGGCCCGTTGAACTGCGCTGGCGCCTTGAACCCCATGACATCTAGGGTTATCAACCCTAAGAACTATTCTCACTCTCTGTTCCATCACTCTTCGCATCTCATGACATCAACGTGATGGCTTCGCGTCCGCGGCTCCGATCGAGCAGCCGAAAAGACTCGCCCGTGTCTCCTCCCAAGCCGGCTTCCCTCAGTGTTGTCATCGACGCGTCTCTGAATCAAAACAAACGTCAGACGCGGTCATCCCGAGAACCCGCAACAGCGCAACAACCGTCGCAAGATGTTGAGCAGGGTCTTTCCACTCTCGTTGAAGAGAAACAACTATCGGAACAGATTGAAGATTTCAACAGCAGCATTTCCGTCTCATCAGAGGGGAGCTCCATAACATCATCCTTGGAGAGTCTGTTAGATGCCCTGGATCGAGAGTCCATCATCGATAATCTCATCAAATTGCGCAATGACTCGGACGCCGTCTTCTCAATCTTTGAGCGTGGTGGTAAAAACGGAGTCGTGGACATCTGTGCAAAGCTGCTGCAATCCGACCCTTTACTCTGCCGAAAATTATTGTCCCGCGAGGAACAGCTTCTAACCACTATGGAAGTGTATGGAGGTAGCCCGGGTTTCATCATTCCAGCAGTTATTATACGCAAATTAACTGGTGATGGTGAACCGCGCGAGATCAACAACACTCCCTGGCGCCCGGACGGCGTTCTCTACTTGGCTAATCTCGCACTGCAATTGGTCCAGGTGTTCAGACGATCGTTGGAGGAACGTCGCACTTACCTCGAGTTTATGTTTCATAACTTCCCAGCACCATTCCATGATCTCGACGCGTTCCCATTCTCAGATGACATGGTAAAAGACACTTACCACCTCTATATGGAGATTCTCACCCAGTTCTATATCCAGCAAGTCGAGATCAGCCACGGTGACGAAGAGTTTGATCCTGACGAGGTTCTCGGGTCTGTCTTTTACGACGAACACAATAATATAAAGGGCTCATCAGATGAGGAGACGCACGCGAAAGCAATGTCGCGTATGTCCTCCATAAGATCGCATTTCAGCACGGAAGCGCACCCGTGGGTTAACGTGGAGGCTCTAAGACAACAATTTCTCTGGTCGGATTTTGTTGCGCAGGCGGTCAGATGGAGCCTGGCCCGCAAACGGGAGCTGGACGACATGATCAATTCGAAAGGCGGTATAGAGAAGCTCATCGATGCACTTATTGCTGATGACTTCCAAGACGAGGCTGGGCCAGCCGGTGGCTTTACTCAAGCGTCCGAGTTGGCAGACCCTAAAACCAAAGCGCTGAGCCCTGCCGCGGACCATAACCAAGCAGAGCATGTCGGGGATGCCAATCGCAAATATACAAGCTCGACACGGAAGGCGAAAACAGGGCCTTTGTTGGGCAAAGCCATGAAAGCCAACATTGACCGACTCAAGGCTTTCAAAGTCAAGCATTCTGCACGCAATCCCCGAGACAAAGCTCGTCCCGTGTCCCCTACTCCACCAGAACCAGAGCAGGAGATTCCACAGTCTCCATCGCCAGTTGTGGATGAGACCCAACCAGCAGCTATTGATGAAAGCGAGAGCCAAGTACAAATTCTTCCCCAAGCTAGCGCCTCTGCCCAAGAGATCGCCCCAACCCAGCAAACGAGCGTGGTCCTAGAGACAATTCGCCGTCAGAATCAACAGAGTGACAAGGAAAATAAGAACGAGAAAGCCAAAAAAACCTCGTTGCTCGACCGCCAAGAGGGGGCAGAGAGGGTGGAATGGGACGAGCCTTCTGATAATGGGGACACTCCCCCGCCACCTCAGCCTCTAAAGCGTCGACGACCTCAAGCAAGCAATGATGACGCCGGCCCCGACGAGTTTGAGACGGATAAGAGGGCAACAAAAAGAGCTCGTGCCAGTGGTGATTTTAGCAGAGGACCATCACTGACGACCCGTGCGAGCGTCCAAGTGGAAGAGGAGCATACCACACCTATCAACAAGGATGCTCGTATCCCTGACAAGACCCGCGCGGTTGCTTTTGCAAATCGAGGCCAGCATTCAAGACCGACCCAAATTCGGTCACAATCGCCGGATGCCATCCCGGGCACAGCGCCAGTCTCATCATCAAATCCGGCACCATCCCGTACACAGACATCGCCCTCAAGCCGAGTACTTCTTGAACCTATTCCAGCGGCCAAAAGAAGACTCCCTCCTTCGAGCGCACCCGTTCGAACTCATCCTGGAAGTTTCGGGTCATCTAGATTGCCTTCAGAGAGACTGCCCGCATCCCAACTCAGCCGTGTGAACCAGGAAGCCAAGGAAAGGGTGCGTATGTCTCGCGAATTGTTACATGCTCCACAAGGCGGCCAAGTTCGTAGACCTTATACGGAGGAGGAGGTTGATCGACTGTTGGAACTGATTGCTCTGTACGGGACACGGTGGGCGAGGATCTTGCAAGAAGATAACAGGCACGAGGATGGACCGAGGTTGCAAGACCGAACCCAGGTGCAGCTGAAGGACAAGGCACGCAATATCAAGTTGGTTTATCTCAAGTAAGTTTGCATCCTCCCCCTTGTTTTTCTGCCAATTTCGCCTTTCTCTGACCAGGCTGGGTTCTGTCTATCCTGGTGTCCACTGTCGTAATGATCCCAGCCGCTGTCGAGTCTATTGCTGTGTTCTAATTCCCTGTTTATAGATCCGGTCACCGCCTACCACCAGGATTTGAGAGTGTGAGTGTGGGCCTCAGGAAAATTCAGGAGTTGCAAGACCTCGGTATCAGCTACATCGAAGGCCAGAATGGCGCTCGCTATGCCCGACGTCGGCCGTACGCCGATGATGGTGTTGAAGATATCGACGACATTGAGGATTAGAATGAGGCAGCTCGCTGAGTGTCTCTTTCCCCCTTGTATCCAAACTCGACTGATTGGTTTGTTGGTTATTCTGCCTGCCACAACCCACAACCCACAACGGTTGATGTGTTATTTCTCTACAGCAATACTTCCTGGAGCTTCTATAATCTCAGCGATTCTCTCTTTTCTTTGATCATTGTGTCTCGTCGACACGACACTCGATACCCAGGACAGAACTTCTGGACAAGCAGGCTTGGATCTTGGATCTACCTATGTACTATATATATATACATTATATACACCCCGAACTGTGCTTTGTACATTACCATTTTCGCTCAGCAAAGGGAGGGCGGCCGCTTTAACTGGGCACGTGACGCAGCATTGAGGAGGCCCGGCCGAGCACGGGAGAGCGTTGTGGGATTGTGCAGATGTGAACTATTCGCATCTAATTCTCATGAACGGGATCGAACCGATTAAATGAGAAGAGACAATGCTACTCTGCCACGATGACCTCGAATGACGAGCTGAGAACCTACAAGCCGGCCGGAATAGGCAACATATCGGAAAATGCCGTTTGCAGAGGAGACGGTCGAGTACAGAGGTTGTGCGTAGGCGATAACGAGGCAGAGAGCATTGAAGAAAACGTTTAGTGCAGATCCTCGAGACATCTAGAGCGAGACATTCGACACCGTGTCGCACGATCTAGTAGAAGCTACTAGTACTATGTTTGTCCTCCAAGAGGAGGCTATGCTTCACTTAAAGAGTGCTAGCATCGAGTAAATAGCTCTAGTTAAGCGGCAAGAAGATTATTTAGATTCAACCTACAAAGAACGCCCATAGCCGCTCTTCTAATGAACTAGTTGCTACCGCTGGAATTCACCCATCTTTTCCATCTCAAATGTGCTGACTTGAGTAGTCAATCCCACCGTTGTCGTGAAAGCTTCGGCTGGCTTCACGGCCGCTTTCATATCAATCCCGATCTTCTCTTCGCTTCCTGACTTGCCCACCACAGTGCTCCAAATCATCTCAGCCTCCTTTCGATCATGGACTTCGTCCCCTCTCCAAGCTACATGGCCGTCCGGTCGAACCAGGACCAGCGCCTTCTCATACAGTCTCTGCGCTAACTCCTCCCCAGCAAGGTTGACGTACTTCAGAGGAATGGACCATCGACTCGCCGCATCGGTGAGGATTTTGTAACCACAATCTTGGTCAGTGAAGCACAGTAGCGTCCAATCTTTACCGAAGTGGTCAAATATTGGGGTTGAGTCAGACAGAAAGATATGAGGAGGTCGAGCGCCAGGCCAGGTGGATGGCGTGTACCGCGAAACAACCCATTCAGGCTCCTTCTCGGTGTGATCCGTTATGATGACCCGCGACTTGTAACGGTAGCCCATCTCGATGCCAATATCCTTGTTTTCGCCGTCGTTTGTCTGGTAATGATCTATCAGCCGCTGTCTTAGATCTCGTCCTTCTGGCGTGTCTTGATCGATCCGGCGAGGATCACCATCACCGAAGATTTCTCTCATCTGTCCGTGAACGCGGAAGTGCCGTCCTGAGTGCTCGATATTTCTCATCGCAATCGGACGACGGTCCTCTTCATAGGATTGAAGTAGTCCCTTACCGGCGTAGCCTTTGATGACTGCAGCCAGTTTCCACCCGAGATCATAAGCATCACCGATTCCCGTATTCATTCCATAACCTCCCGTAGGGATATTTTGGTGCGCAGCGTCTCCAGCAATGAAGACACGATAGTGAGGGCCCGTCCATTTTCGTGCGATTGCGATATTAGGTCTCCAAGTCGAGCGCACAAGTATCTCGTCGATCTTGATGGGGTAATTTTCATAAAGCCCTCCTAAAACTCGGTAGACAGCCTCCTCAGAGGCGATAGAATCGGTATCTGTATCTACAGGCAAGAAGAGGTGGGTCGTCCAAATATCCTTTTCGTTTTGAGAGATGATTGCACCCCTCAATTCACCTGGTTCTCCAGCTATAAAAATGTGCCAGAATTGTCCTTGTTTATGGAGGCGGGTTAGGTCTGTAGACTTAAAATGGACGAGAACGACGCAAGTTGGACTGTCACGCAGGTTAGTCGTGAGGTTCTGGTGGGGAGTCTGGAACGTACACTGGACCGCCATCCAGAGGAAATCCCATCGACTGTCGAGTTTTGCTGGATGCTCCATCGCAACCAGCCAGATAATCAGACACGAATATCACCGTCTCACCGCTCTCAACATTCTGTAGAGTAGATCGCACGCAGTCCTGCTCTTCCTGGATGCCCACGACCTTCCATCCAAATCTGACACTGACCATTGGGTCGGTATCACAGAGGGTTTTGAGCCATTTCTCAAAAATGACCTGCGAGACTCTTTGCCACGGCTCCAGAGGTTGACTCCCGTCATTCCTTTCCAGAATCTGCTGTCTAACAGCGTTAACGCTGGGGAGTGGCCATACGGTGACGGGAGCTTTGGTGGAGAGTCCCGTTGAAACGAGAACGTGTTGGGGGATATCTGCTGGTACACCGAGCTGACGCAGTCCTTCCGAGAGACCTAGTCGTCGAAAGATCTCCATGGAACGCGAATTGGTCAAATCCATCTTTGGCCACTTGGTCGTCGATGTGTTGCGTTCGAACAGCACCGACTTGATGCCATAGTGCGATAGCACTTTGGCAACCAGCAATCCAACAGGCCCGCCACCAGCGACCAACACTGTCCCCTTGGGGAGTGTTTCAACACGAGGCATGCTCCCCATTCTTCTGACAATGTTGAGTCGAGGGTGTCGGAGTGATTGAGATGTTGAGGATGGTCTTCAATCGAGCGTAGTGTCTTGAGACTCTGGGGGTCAGGTCTCGTCCGTAAAAGGACGGAAATTCCGGCCAAGCTTAGACGAGAGTGATTTTCGGTGTCCATGTTCCCTCTTCTCCCTTGGTTTTACGAAGTACCAGATAATACTGTTATTCTTCTGCGGGACTCGCAGACCGAGCAACGTGTCTGTCGGCTCGCCAGACTTAACATTTTGGTCCGGCACGAAATTCGGTCCGGATATTTTCCAGCCAACGGCTCCTCGCTGCGGAGTTCCCCAGGCGTACCAGGGTAGACCTACAGTAGGTCCTGGGACCCAAGCATCAAAAGTGCCGTGGTTGTGAGTGAGAGCTGCTCAGCTTGTAGGCAAGATAATAGGTTAGCAAATGACGGAGCAATCTAGGTGTCAGCATGCGTCCGTTGGTGGCCCCCTGCAGCCCTGCACCAGCCCCAAGCACCCCCGCGACAAATTCCCAATTGGACGCGTGCGGGGGGATACCTGTCACGTGGCGTTGTCCCTCAAGCGAAGCCTTTGTGTGTACGAGGTATCCGAGGGCGAATTAGCTTGATGGTCTTTTCGTTCATTTCTTGTTCTCGAACGTCAATTAATCCAGATTTGCTCAGCCCATTAAGAAACGGCCACGATGACGCGCAAGTCGTTCTCTCCCTCAGAATCTCCTCGACACGGATCCAAGCCAAAACGTGCGGTGGCATGCGCCTTTTGTAGATCGAAAAAGGTCCGATGTACGTTGAGGTCAACTCTTTCAAGAATTTGCCATCTAAAACGCACCAGGCAATGGAAACGACCCCTGTACGAATTGCATCGACCGCAATCGAGAATGCATCAGGCCAGTTGGAGCTCACAAGAGGCACAAGTACAGGTCGAAGGACGACCACCACTACGACCATGCCCTCGCCGATAGATTGGCCCGTCTCGAGACCATGATGGAGAAATCTCATCCGGTCCAAACCTCGAGAACCGATCCCTCGAATTTCTTTCCACTGGAATTGCGTGATGGGGGACCAAGCCCACCGAGGTCTCCTCCAGTACCATTGGTAATGGATCTGCCCAACAGCAGTAACCTGAGATCCCCAGCTCTGTCGGCGAGGGCTGTTGAGACGAGTGTTGTCTTTTCTTCGCCTTCCACAATCAAACATCGGCCCTTTGAGATTGACCAGACGTTTACTTTGGGATCGAGTGGCGCGTGTGCGCAGCCGGCCCCTTCGCAATATAGCGTGACCGGCACAGCTGGGGTGAATACGGTGAGCACTAAGCGGCAGGAGCCAGACGACGAGCTCGTAAGTAGCCTATTTCGTGAAATGGGAGTCAAAGCTAATGGAGCAGCAGTCAATTTGGGAGTATCACGGTGTGTGCTTCACTGCCTCGATGTATGACCTTACACTAACCTGTCTAGGACCGAAGTCGTACCTGTCAATTTGCTCAGAACCAGGCATCAGCTGGGTCACCGATCGCATAAGAGAACCTAGCTTCCGTGATATTGCCACCACTTTCACAAGGGATGTCGCACGGCGACTAAAGACCAACAAGAGACTATCGGCCAGAAGGACGCCTGAACCGGAGCCGGATTTGGCATGGAAATATACAAGGGGCAAGTCCCACCTCAGTGCGTTCAGGATGCTTGACTAACAGAAATAATCATAAGGATACTTCGAGGGAGCCGTCGACGCTGCGTTGGGAGTGGTTCATCGCCCCTGGTTTGAGTCGAAACTCGCGGCTCACATGAATGCGGGCGATCATGACGACGACGATCCTGGCTGGTATGCCCTCCGCAACACCATCTATGCCGCCGGGTGTCGCGTGGAAGAGTCCAAGACCAGGAATATATGCGATGTGAATAAAGCAGCCTGGGGATGGTTTGAGAATGCGCTTTCGGTGCACACAGAAATCCTATATTTTCGAACGTCCATGGTCGGCATCCAAGCATTGACACTGATGGTGAGGGTCCCAAGAGATTGCAGCTGGACAAGAATTTGACCGTTGACAGGCGTATTATTGTGAAAACATTGCGAGCCCCTGTCTGGAATATATGCTATGTTCCAGCGCTTTCCGGCTGGCTGTTTCAAAGGGGCTCCACCGCCAGTCCGTTACTTCGGCCAGATTGAGTAACGACGAACAATGCAAGCGAAGTCTTGTCTTTTGGGCCATTTATTGCTTGGAAAAGCATGTCGCTAGTCACTCGGGAAGGCCTTCGGTACGTATATGCAAGTTCCCCAAGGAATATTCCTAAACATATCATGTTCAGATCATCGACGATGGCGAAATCAACTGTCAAATCCCGCAGACGCCGCTCCCAGGCAGTTCTGCCAATGTCTTCTACTATGACACGTTGACGAGACTTGCACAACTCTCCTCCCGGGCATACACGAAGGCTTTCTCCTACCAAGCATTGCAGAACATTTCACAAACCTTGATCGGCGAAATCGACGCCCTGGACGGTCAACTCGAAGCCCTCAAGAGATCCAAAGAGCATATTTTCCCTCTGGACAAGCCCATTCACGCCGTCTCCCCACTGCCGTCTCTCAGTCGTCATCAGGCTCTGTATCTGCAATATGCATACTACATTACCATTCTCGACATTCACACCTTTCTCGCCATTCCTTGGGCCGAGAGTACCCTTTTTCCCCTGCACGAGCCGTCTCTTGCAAGCCAAATACATCGGTCAACGCAAAAGGTCGCAAGTGCGTGTCGCGAGATCATTCTGGCCACGACAAATATGAATTTTGACGCCAGCAGTCCACATCCGTAGGTTTTTGAGGCCGAGCTTCTTCATTAACACACGCTGACCATCTTCTCTCCAGACTCACCTTTTACGGCCCCATGTACGCATTCATCAATCTGTTTATTCATATTTTGAGGTTTCCCAACGATCCCAATATCCGCACGGACGTGTCGATGCTGAGCATCTGCGCGGGCCACTTTGCTCGGCTGGATTTCGCCACGGATTCAGAGATATCGTTCCCATTCGTGACCGAGGTTGCCGCCCTGGCCACAAAAGCGGCTCGTTTATCACGGCCACGGTATCCTCTGAGCCGGGATAGCTTTGGCGAATCTGAAAGAGGAGGACCGGTCGAGCCCAGCATGGGATTTCCCCAAGCAGCAGGCGAGATTCCGCCAATTCCAGATTGCAATGTGGGTTTTCTTCCCTACCAACGTTACTCGACCCTCAAGAACATCTCGAGTGCTGACGTTCTTTTTAGAGCAACATGACGAATGGCTTCGATGCGGGACTCGACGACTGGTGTCTGATGCTTCCATTGTCGGATTTTGACTACGACTTGCCCAATCTTTTCGTCTCGTGAGATGGACATGGAAGCAGCATCTAAGGGCTGTCTGGGACCGTGACTGTAAAATATCGGGCCTCTAGATGCCTTTCTTTTCGACTTGTCCAACGACGAAAATGGCGAAAAAGGGCTGGAGCTTCTATCGATGAGTTAGCATTGAGAATCAATCACCAAACAGGGTGGTCCATTAAGGTCTACAGACAGCGACAGGTTGCTATATGCCACATGAGTGCCCTGGACACTCCTGTAAGGCTTCCTATAACTGCAGTCCGAGCCCAGGTGAGTGATCTAGCTACGTTAGGTCTGATCAAGACACTCCTCTTACTATCGGCGGCTGTCAGTTCGCTCTGATGTCACGATTGGGGAGAACGATGTCTGCCCCATGATATCTAGAGAGATATAGTAATATCACCGGGCTGGAGGATCGAAAGATTATCCGCCGAGCAGGCCCCCCGGACACAAGCGCCGCACCGATGTTAATCACTTTCGGCCCGGTAGAACCGCCGTACAAACATGCCGGGTCCTTATGTCATCCGATGTGGAATCCGGAGAATATACGGTTGATATAGCGACGTCAGCTTTTTCGTCATGTATATGGTCCATGCGGCCAAAAGGACAAAGACCAGCCCATCACGGTGACAGACACCAATCTCAGCAACAATGGGATCCCTCTCCATCCCCAACTTCGACGACCCGGGCACCGCAGTGCTGCCGCCCAGCAAACTCGCGCACATGGTCCTGCGCACCGGCGACTTGGAAAAAATGGTCTCCTTCTACACAACCTTCCTCGGCGGGCACGTCACGCACGGTAACGATTTTTTGTCCTTCATCACGTACGACGATGAGCACCACCGTATCGCGCTGATCCGTGTGTCCGGCACGTCTCCCAAGGTGCCCACCAGCTGCGGCCTCGAACACGTCGCTTTCACTTTCCCGACCGTCGCCGCGCTGTTGCTGGCGTACCGACAACGTAAAGCGCACGGGATTCCGCCTCTGTGGTGCGTCAACCACGGTCCGACGACCTCGATTTACTACAAGGATCCGGATGGAAATATGATCGAGACGCAGGTAGATAATTTTGAAACGGTCGAGGAGGCGAATGCGTTTATGACGGGCCGGGAGTTTGCGGAGAATCCCATCGGGACGGATTTCGATGCAGAGGAGTGGATTGAGAGGTTGAAGAACGGGGAGAGTGAAGAGGTGCTGAAGAAGAGGGTGGAGATTGGGGCGAGGGCGTTGCCGGAGGATTTGTTTTGAGAACAGCTACCGATTTTATAGAGCAGGAAATATCCTGGTACGGTGAATGAAGACAAGCCTGAACTTTTCAAGAGTCCCTGGTCGAGGGGCCCGGGCTGGTCATCCTCTTTCTCCTAGACCGGGACGAGGCTGTCTTTTGCCCTTTGGAAGGGCGAATGGAATCTCACACTCAGATCAGGAGAATCGGTGTCAACCTGACCCTTATAGAGCCACCATTCATCTCCCACACCATGACCCGTAAAACTCGTCTGCCATGTTCAATGCACAGTGCACAATCGCCATCACCTTCAGCGAAAGGGACCCAGCTCAGCACATCCATCCGCCGTCAATGAGCTGCACGGTACCACTGATATACTGCGATGCGTCGGACAACAAAAACACAATGAGTTCGGCCACCTCCTCCGGCTGGCCAAAGCGCTTGATCGACTGCGAAAAGTCCCGTTTGGCGCCTCTCACTTCGCTCGACTTCCGCGACATTGGGGTATCGATCAACCCCCTATGAATACAGATCAGCGTGAAACAAAGAAGCGGGCAAGGTCACCATCAAAGGTTAAGAGACAAGGAAGACTCACGGCGCCAGACAATTGACTCTAATCCCCCGATCTCCCGTCTCCTTCGCCGCACACCTCGACAATCCAACGACCCCATGCTTCGACGCCGTATAAGCGGCGGCCATTGGCAAACCCATTACCCCCGCCACGCTCGCCGTGTTGACGATACTTCCCTTCGGGTTCATATTGCGAATCTGCGCGCGATTGCAGTGCATGACCCCCGTCAAATTCACCCCTATCACAGCCGTCCAGTCATCGTCTTCCAAGTCCTCGATCTTATGCACATTCATATCCTTACCCATCATTCCGGCGAGGTTGACGGCACCGTCGAGTTTTCCGAACTTGTCCACTGTCGCGGCAATCCAGTCGTTGACCTGCGTCGAGTCGGCGACGTTTACCACGCGCGTGAGTACTGTGCCACCCGCTTGTTCGATCTTGGATGCTGCGGCGGCAAGGGATTCCGCGTGCACGTCGGCAACGGATATCAGGGCGCCACTGGAGGCGAGCAGCTCAGCGGTCGCGAGGCCGATGCCTGACGCGCCGCCAGTGATGGCGATCACTTTTCTTGTAAAGTCATACTTGACTGACATTTTCCCCCTTGAGCTAGAACAACAGATCTCTTTTTTTTTTCCTCCCTTTCGTGTTCCTTTTTCAAGTCTTTCACCTTTTTCCAAGTGTCGTTTGTCTGGGCTAATGTATTATGTTGTCTCTTTCGAGCAGGGTTTCATGTATCCACTATTAGCAGCTGTTGCAGCTCGCTAACGTTGCGGCTCTGTCTCGGTTAGCCGACGGGTGCCGGATTTCGGCCCGGAAGCAGCTGTGGCAGACTTTCAGGTTACCACGGCAGAAAGGGAAAACTAAATGCAAACCAGAGGGAGCCAGGATTGAGCAATTTGTACATGTATCTAGCTATCTGAAGGAAAAGACGCGAGGTGGGCCATAAGCCACAGTCTCTGTGGAAGTGGCTGGCGGCACCACCGCAGATATAGACCGTGGAAGCCTTTGCCGTACAGCAGACCAGGGTGGATGGAAGTTGAAGCCCACCTTTTCGATTGGTAGTCGTATGTTAATACCAGAAAAAAGTCATGGAGGCAAATGGTATTTGGTAAAGCAGACGTTCTTCGACTCAATTTTCCCCGACAACAGCGACCCTAGCCCCTTCCTGCCTTTTCAGCCCCTCTGTTCAACCGTGACGCCACTCTTTTCCACAGAGGTTGTTTCTGGACCACGAGCGCCCTCAGCACCCGCTTCTGCCTCAGCCTCTGCGACGACATCCTTCTGACCGAACACGGCGGCCATATGCTCCAGCGGCACACCTTTCGTCTCCGGTACGAAAAAGTAGACGAACAAGATGGCAATGACCCAAAGCCCACCAAAGAGAAAGAACATACCGTACCCCATGGACGTGATCATATAGGGTGTTGTCTTGGTAATGACCAGACTGAACGTCCACTGCGTGAACATGCTCAACCCGCCGCTGACGGCCCGCAGGTTGGTCGGGACGACCTCATTCTGCATGATGAACGGGATGCCCGAGAAGCCAGTGACGGAGCCAATGATGTAGACATACATGAATGCGCAGGCCGCGATGCCGCCGGCGCTGATATGGTTCGCCGTGGGATCGGGCTTCTTCGCTCTAAGATATGCACCGATAATGAAGAGCGAGATCACGCCCATTGATGTGCCTGTGATCAAGAGCGTGCGCCGTCCGAAGCGGTCGATCAGCAGGTACAGGACAAAGATGGAGGTCAAAAATTTGATCAGGCCGAAAATTCCGGTTGTGAACAGGCTTGCGTTACTGCCGACGACACCGAAGGATTGGAAGAGTCGAGGTGTATAGTACACCACGCCGCCGCCTGAGATTCAATATTAGCTTTTTGAGGGCGACTTCTGGGATCGGTATATTGGACTTACTGCCTCCGAGTTGACTGAAAAACATCAGAATAGGTCCAAGGGTGATGCGCCGCCTCATCTCGGGCCGCCAGGCGTGGTGGATTTGGACCCTCAGCTTGGTGAAGACATTATCGTGCTCGGTGAGACCCAGTGATTCTCGTTCAATACTGGTTTCGAACTGAATATCCGTCATCTCACGCTGGATGTAGTCGTGGTGGACGGGCAACTGGCGAAGTTTCGCCAGCACGGCCCTTGCTTGATCTATTCTCCCACGCTGAACCAGGAATCGAGGCGTTTCCGTCAAGACGAATGCCGCAATCAGGAGCAAGCCAGCCATGGGGAATTGAAGTGACACTGGCACTCTCCACTGTGCGGGATTGGTGTTGGGGATATGCAGCGCCGTGCCGTAATTGACCCAGAATCCTATGACGGACCCGGTCTGGAAGATGATGTCGTAGATGGCAATCAGCTGGCCACGCAGCCCGGCCGGAGCGATTTCTGAGATGTACAGGGGACAGGCGACGGTCAACGGTCCGACGCCGAGTCCCGCAATGAAGCGTCCAGCATAGAAAGCATGGACCGTGCCAATCATCTGGCAGACTGGACCGATGAGATAGACGGAGGCCGAAACCAAGATCGAATTTCGTCGTCCCACCGTCTCGATCAGAGGCACTGCGATAAGGGAGCCTAGGATGGCACCCGCTTGGAATGTGATGATCAAGTTGCTGGACAGGTCGTTGATTTCGCTCGTGCTCTTGTCCAGGAGACCAAAGTCTTTCTTGAATGATGGCAGCGCAAGTGTGCCGCCAAAAAAAGCGAGGTCATAGCTAGACAAAAAAAGTCAGTCAACCTGTACATATCCTGGCTCCAACTGGGGATGGATTTCTTGCCCGTAAAGAATTCCTCCCAAAGACGCAGCAAGAGAAAGGAGTTGGATCTTCCAGTTGTAGACTGCCGGCGGTGTCTGGCCGTCGTCGACTATTCTCCACCGCATGATGATGGTCTGTCCAAAGATTAGACGTACAAAGTGTATGTTCCAGACGAGATGGTCATTTCACACAAGACCCGTATAGGGGAGGAGGCTAGCCATCTATAACTACTATCCCTGGACCCTCTGTGCCACCTTTGCACAAAGCCTAATTTCCTTCACCGCGGGGTCCAAGAAGTTTTCCGCGGTCTCGGCGAGCGACTTCGCTTTTGGCCGAAAAACAACTGCCCGGGGAGGCCGGAGCAGCTCCACAAGAGATCAATGTCAATAGGGGCCACGGTTGTATGGTCTAGGATCCCAGGATTTCCCCAGATTCTTTTGAGTTGAACCCCTTGTCAGCAATTCTGGGGAGGGTCAGTGGTGGATGAATTGGGACTGAATGGAATGGAATTGGTACTGCATGGGATCGAGTTTCTTTCCACCGTCATGAACACGGTCAACTTGGTTTGTTCATTGCAAGAAATCTAATGCTGAAACGCGACATGGTGCATCTCAATCTTGTTCGGTCCCTTCGCCAGCAATGCAATGTTCTCCTTGTACGCCTTCGTCTTCCGGAACTCGTTGTGCCTTTCAACCGATTCCCATCCGATGACCAACTTGACAGCTTTCCCTTTCACTCCGTCACGCTCGACCTCGGCATGTGTCATGCCTGCCGCCGAAGCAAGTGGCCCTGAATCGACCTCTGCCTTGACAGCACTTTGAAACACGCACACACCGGCCAAGTACTCGTCGGACGGAGTTCCCTCGAAGTAGAACGTCGCAATTTCCGTCACCGGCGCACCCAGGGCCTTGAGAAGCCCCTCGGCCGGTTCAAAGTTGATCCTTTGAGCGCTTGGGTAAAAGGGCTCGGCAGTGATGATCTCATTGATTGCTGCTGCCGCTGAATTGTCCGGTTCTTGCTCAGAAGCCTCAATATGCGATAGGCTATCCCATGCTGGTAAAGGAATCGTGTAAGCTCAAGCAGCGAAGGTTCAGAGGCGGAGGAAAAGTCATACTGTTGAAAACCTCTAGTAGATCTGGATGCTCGACCGACAGCCCATATTCACAAGCCTGGAATCCTGCCAGTCGAGAGATCTTGTCGCGGTACGACTTGAGCAGCTGGGCTATATTGCTCCCTGCCGCCACGGGCACAGCAATGATGTCAGTGGTCGGCATCGGAAGTGAAAGCTAGGAGCATGGAAATGTAATTCAAGAACAGTATACGGGAGTGAAAGATGTGGGCGGCCACTTTCAAAACTTGCAAATGGCGAAACACTTTACTGTCCAGGCCACCGGCATACATTCTCACAATAACCTAGTAGGCAGGAATGATAGCCCCCAGACCCCGTCACAGAGCGTTTCCACGAATACCTCTCGGCTCGAGAACCGAACAGAAAACCCTGGACCCTGGGGGCAGAAGCTTCTGGTCTTTGCCCAATATGATCGGCGAGCCGGAGACTTGATGCCGCGGTCTCGGTGACTGTCTCCGAGGCCGTGTAATTCAACCACTCGTGATTTGAACGAGTTACGATAGAGCGAATCATACGTATTCACTGTCGAGTACACCTGGGGCGAGGACTGATCGATTTTGTCGCCGTGGGGCGTATTCTGTTGCAAAGCTGATAGAACAGTGCTCTATGTCTTTCGTATTGGTCGTATGGTGAGATAGAGCAAAAGTCGTCAGGATCGGGCATTTGTGAAGGAGGCTGTCAAACGAAATTTGCCGTCGCACCATGGAGAGAATCGACGTCCACAATCACGTTGTGCCAGAGAACTATGTCAGACGTAAGTTGAAAAGCATACCACTTCCTGTTGTTTGTTGCTAGTGGGGAGCCATCACTGAGCTCGACGGTCTCTCGCGAGTGCAGTTCTCAAAGAATTGGGTGATCCGAACGGATCTCATGTACCCGAATGGAGTGTGGCACTGTTGAGGACGTTCATGAAGGACCATGACGTTCGCCGTGCGCTCCTGACCTTGTCGGCGCCAGGTACGACAATCACAAAAGGAGCACAATCAGTCGAATTCGCCCGCGAGGTCAACGAGGCACTGGCCCAGATCCGCGATTCAGATCCAGACTCGTTCGGTTTTTTTGCATCAATTCCCCCTCTGACTCAGAAGGACGATGCGTTGGCTGAGATCAGGTATGCACTGGACACTCTGCAAGCCGACGGCGTGATTTTCTTCACCCGCTACGGCAACGACAGTCACTACCTGGGCCACCCAGACTTCGCCGAGATCTGGGACGAGCTCGACAAAAGGCACGCCGTGGCGTTCATCCATCCCACGGGGGGCTTAAACGTCGAGCCCGCCGGGCGAGGGCTGAGTGTGGCCGTGGTCGACTTTCCACACGAGACGACGCGAACGGCGCTCGATCTCATCGTGTCCAACACGGTGCGAAATCATCCCAATGTGAAAATCATCCTGCCTCATGCCGGAGGGACGCTGCCTTATATCATCCAACGACCGGCCATCGTCCTTCCAGGATTTGGGGTTCCCAAGAGCAGCGAGGAGATAGTTGAAGACGCCCGAGCATTTTACTATGACACGGCGCTTTCCACGGGCTCGGACACCTTGAAGCTGCTTACCAGCTTTGCCAAACCGGACCATATCTTGTACGGTAGCGACTTCCCTTATGCGCCACGCGGTGTGGCGAAGCATTTCAACAATCAATTGGACGCCTTCCAGGGACCTGAGGAGAACACGTTGAGGAATATCAACCATGACAACGCGCTGAAGCTGTTTCCGAGATTTGCAAAATCAACTTAAAAAACATACCATGATCCATTGCGCAAGAGGCGTAAAACATCATAGCAGAGGAGACCAAAGGATAGAAAATGATCTGAGACAAACACGATCACTGCCACTTCTAGTGCCGGGACGAACATGCCGTGGCAGGATTGAAATGATAGCACCCCCTGTCTAAGGGCGGCTTTTAGATCTAACAGCAGATTTTATCCCCCTAGACATGGACAAAATCGTTCAAATGTTGTCTCGTTGGATGTCACGTCTCTGACAGCTGATCTGGTTTCGATTCGACAAATGTTTCATGGGACACGTAGGCTTCGGTGAAGGATGGCAAGCCGATGCCCGTTCACTCTTTCAACTTGTGTCGAGGTATTTCGCTACCTGGTAAAGGTCTCCATAAGGAGCTTCCGTCCTTCGAGCCCTCAAGAACGGCGTGTCTTGACAGCGCAGAGCGACTAATCGATGTTATCAGGTATGAGACGCTTCAAAAGTTCATTGCCGTTACCTAGTTGCCCTTTACAGCATTTATCACTGGTGCGCTATGCTGGTTTTTGGATTAGCAAAGCGCCACTTGACAACTTGTGCCCCGTTATGTAGTATCGCTCACTGCAAATACCTGCATTAATTCGAGTCGAGGGTTATCCGCAGCCACACTCGGTGCGTTGACAACGACGTGCGCAGAGAAATCCAACCGTGGACAAGGGGATGTTGCTTGAGTACTGCGATTCTGCACAGGGGGTTGCGAAATTTCTTACTCTCCATGGTCAAATGGGTCGGGGTACCGCTACCAGCCCCGCCTTGCCGCGATGAAGCCGAGAGATTGTGCGTCTGTAGAGGCATGGACATGTCTCTTCTTATGGCACCGGTCATTGCGTCTTTGATCGCGGCTTTGCTCAGCCGATTGGAAAGTTCGCAGGAGCTGCGAGCAACGGTCCACCTCTCGCATATCGCGGCGAGGATGTTTGAACACGACCGTGTATCATTGGTGATGTCGAGGTAGTCAGGAATTGGCATGCCTTGCGTGGGATCAGGCTTTCACACACCACAGCACGAGGAAAAAATACAGGATTGGGACATAACTTGTGGAGATCTCGGCACGAGACCAGCTTTCTGAGCTCAACACAGCGAGGCAGATTTTCTGCATCCAACTCCTGATATCACTGAGCCATCCTAAGGCCCCAGTTAGCCCGATATCCAGTTGCAACCGCCGTGTGCCTTTCAGAAATGGTGGTCAAGTGCGGGTTCAGTACGGATCCGAAAGTGGGTTGGTTAGCTCTCTGCGCCCGGTGCTGAGGATTCACCCACGGCAGGACTATAACGAACTCGGCCTTTTTGCCCGAAGCCGACCGCAAATTGCTGGGCTCTAGTTGGCTTTTTGGTCTGTGGCCAGAGAGGCATCAGAAATTGTCGGCATAGGCAGCACCAGTAACCTCGGGATCTCTTACGCTGGCCCAAAGGAGGTATCGCTTTTACAGGAAACTGCACAACCAAAGCACGTCCAGGACATTGGAATTGAGTGTTTATGACTACGACATGCCATCAACGCTGAGGAAGCTCTGGGAGCACCCCGACGTAGCGTCTACGAGCATCGAGGCGTTTCGACTCCTTGCCAACGAAAGGTCCAATCTGAACCTTCGTAAGTTTGACGGATATGCGCTCACTGTATACCACTAACGATCTTTTTTCGTGGTCAGGCAACTATCATGATCTCTGGAAATGGTCTACCGAATCTTTGAATGATTTCTGGATGCTTGTATGGGAATTCACAAAGGTCAAATCGTCAATCCGTCCGACGTATGCTATATCGAAGTCCGAGGCCAACAGGCTCACGCCAAACCCGACGTGGTTCCCTGAAGCGCGACTGAACTTTGCTCAAAACATCCTGGAATCAGACTTTGCTCCTCACGATGAATACAACACACCGGTTCTTACTGGGATTCGGGAAGACCAGAGCGAAGTTGAGCATGTGTCCCTCACTCAGCTCCGTAGTCGAGTAGGCCGTCTCGCAAATGCTCTGAGAGGGGTTGGAGTTCAAACGTCCGACCGTGTGGCGTGCGTGGGATCGAACAGTATCAACACATTTACCGTGTTTCTAGCCGCCGCGTCGATCGGCGCAATCTTTACGTGTTGTTCCCCTGAGATGGGCGAAAAGGGTATCCTTGATCGTTTCCTGCAAGTCAGACCAAAGGTCCTATTCTTCGATGACTGGGTTGTCTACAACGGTAAAGAGATCCCCTGTTTAGAAAAGGCTGGAAAGGTGACAGGTCAGCTCAAGATGCAGGCGGGTCTCAAGCTGTCTGTGGCTGTGCCACGTTTCAGCGAGAGCCGCGCTCGTCGTTTGCCTGATGGCCTTCAGAGCCTGGAAAGTCTTCTGACAGGGGCCTCGGAGCACCTGCGTTTTGCCCAAGTGGAATTCTCACATCCACTGGTTGTCGTCTACTCCTCGGGGACGACTGGGCAGCCTAAATGTCTGGTCCACACGGTTGGTGGCGTCCTTCTAAAGCAGAAACTGGAGCAGGTTCTCTGCACCGAGATGAATGAGAAGAGCATCTACCTGCAATATACCACAGTAGGTCAGATACAAAACACATTTATTCCTTGACTACTAATAAAAGAGCAATAGACAAACTGGATCATGTATCTATATTCGGTCTCCGGTCTACTGAGCGGCGCACGGTCTATTTTGTATGATGGATCGCCAGTGAGACCAACTCCGGTCAAATTTCTGGAAATGCTCGGCCACTTTCACGTCACTCACTTCGGTACAAGCGCGCATTATCTTTCCCTCTTAGAACAGGCTGGTGTCACAAAAGCAGACGTCTCTAGCCTTGATCGATTGCAGGTCATCACAAGTACTGGATCTGTCCTCACCGAGCCACAGTACTACTGGGTGTACAAAGTCTTCGGATCCGTCCAACTCTGTAGTATAGCAGGAGGTACGGACATTGCAGGAGCCTGTAAGTTGAGCTCTCACATTTCGGCTATATCGACCCTGGCTGATCGTATTGTAATTAGTCGTCGGTGGCGCTGCCAATCTACCTGTGTATGCTGGCTGGTGTCAAGCACGAACACTGGGCATGAAAGTTCAAATATATTCCGACGAGGCCCGTCCAATTGAAGAGTCTGGTCAGGCGGGCGAGCTAGTGTGCACCGCTCCTTTTCCATCGCAGCCCGCCTTCTTCTGGGGTGACGAGGATGGAAAGCGATATCAGTCCGCATACTTTGAAAAGTTCTCAGGTATGAGAAACAAAGAGCGAGACGGTCAAAACAAACGTCCAGAACTAATACATCTTAGGTCTTTGGCATCAGGGAGACTACATCCGCATGGATCCAGGTACTCAAGGTATACAGTTCCTCGGTCGCAGTGATGGTGTTCTCAATCCTTCCGGTAGGTGTCTTACTCTTTGTGTGTGAAGTGAATGTTCATTCCATATAGGTGTTCGATTTGGAAGTGCAGAAATCTACAATGCTTTAAATACATTCACGGAGCTCGAAGACTGTCTATGTATTGGGCAGAGACGGCCGCATGATCGTGATGAGCAAGTATTGCTGTTCGTCAAAATGAAGAAGGGACATGTCTTCAGCCATGATCTGGAGAAAGCACTCCGAGAACGTATCCGACAGGATCTCAGTCCTAGGCATGTTCCCAAATTCATCTTTGGAACGCCAGAAATCCCAATGACGGTGAATGGGAAAAAGACAGAACTGCCGGTCAAAAAGATTGTTTCGGGACAGAAAATTACACCGAGCTCAACCATCGTCAATCCTGACTCGTTAAAATGGTATGAACAGTTTGCTGATCTCGACACTAAGGGTTTAACAAGCCCGACCAGCAAGCTGTGAAGGTCGCTGTCGGCTAGACATGATGTGACTGTGTTGATATACTTTGAGATTGCCAGACAGGCTCGTCATCAGAATGTATCCCACCGTTGCGAGAGTGCTGTCGCAGAGACTTGAGAGAAATCTTTCACAGACTCTCAACGCGAAATGTCACTCAATATCCAAGAGACCACGCGTCTAAGAGGTGAGGGTGGAGTCGAACCAGGGCCTGTTCTAGACGAAGCGATTCCCGAGAGAGTCGGAGCTATGATGGTCGACGTCTGTCGTCCTGGAGGATTGGCAGACGAGGTTCGAGCGGCAGTGAGGAAGAGGATGGACTGTGCTAATTTGGAACTAAACGAGGAGAGCTTCACATGGTGAGCGAGGGCATGTTTGACATGGGTGTGTCGCCGCCTACATCCTTTCATCCAGCCAGTAGCATGGGACTTGATTGGGTGCGAAAGGTCTTATCGTCCATAGCTATTGATCAGTGGCCATCGTGAAATTGATAAGTAGATTCGTGATCGACAGCATTCAATGCTGTTGACAATATGGATATGGTAAACGGCGGTCTGCACCGTTGCATATATAAAGTAAGTTCTTCGAGTTCTGTGCGGCTTGCTGTCAGCAGAAGAACGACGAAAGACAAGGTACCTTTGACCAACCCCTGCAACGAGTACTTCATCGAGGCCCAAAGGATGTGATATCTCCCGCGAGGGGCCTCATGAATAGCTCGGGGAGAGGATCTTCCAATCAACAGAGCAATACATCCCATTCTCACCATTTCACCTTCCACCCAGCTTCGAGGTGTCCAATAGCCTCTTCCTCAAACACCACATCCGCATATTTCGCATTCAAATCAAACAGATTCGCTTCTTGAATTTCTGGAGCCCTATCTCCACAAGCATTTCCCACGACCTGATAATTGATAGTCAGTTCCTCAACCTTGAGACGCCACGAAGAACCGAGAGCCAGAACAAACCATAGGTCTAAATCCATTCTGCATGGCATCCAGTGTTGTCGCCCTGACACATCCACTCGTACTAACGCCACATATGACCAACGTATCGACACGCAAGCGCTGCAACTGTTCCGTGAGCGTGGTCCCGAAAAACGCACTGGGCATTTTCTTCACGATCACAATATCTTCCGGTGCAGGCTCCAGGCCTGTAAGCGGAGCATCCAATCCGCGCCCATTGCCGTCCTGCCATATCCACAGCTGTTTCGCTTTGAGCGCGAAAAGGCCCCCGTCCGCGAGATCCGGTGATGTGTATCTGATTTGCGTCCAGATTATGGGGACGTTTCCCTTCCGCGCGGCACTGACGAGTCGTTTCATTGATGCAATGGCAGATACGGCGGGCGGGTTGGCGCTGAGGTCGAGTGGAGATCCGGCGGTCCAGTATGCTTTGCACACGTCGACGAGGATCAGGGCTGGGTTGGAACCCCAGCCCATGATGTTGGCGAAGCCGGAGGCCCGGTAGCTGTCGAGTAGTGCATTGGATGGTGCGGCTGAGCCCATGGTGATAAGAGTGAGTTGAAGGCTCGAAAGAGACGGCGACTCCTTTAAGAGATGTTATGAGCTTTGTGATCGCTGACGCGGACGTGGTTCAATGAAAGGACTTGCGAGTTGCGAGGTTGCCCCAGCCTGATGGATTGACTTCAGTGATCAAATGGACCAGACTTATTCATCTTTACTTACGAATATGATCTAGTCTGGTCTTCGCGTCCGATGTTTGTGCGCTTCAAGTTCCGTATCGTGAGTGGTGCTGGCAGGGGCTATGACCGCTGCTGACATGATATACGATATATCTTGAAGACCGGCACTTCGCCTCGTTACGACGCGTAACTCCGACACCATCATTCCCACCAGTCAAGACCATCCGCCAATCACAATGACCAAATCACTTGCCATTAATAACCTCGTATTCCAAGTCCCACTTCGCGCATCGCTGCTATGTGAGAGACACGAGGCGTACTAACAATATCTAGGCTCGAGACGATGCTTTGTCTGGCTGACTAACCACGAGGCTGAGCATTGCCGTTCTAACTATACCTATCTCTCCACCTCCTTACCATGGGAGATTGTTCTGGTACTACGACCTACGACGGCGTGTCCGCTATCCTAGCAACAACCTTGAACCCCGAGACCTTTCCCTGATCCATCATCGGCACACCCTCCTCCAGCATCCCCACCAATCCTGCCCCAATAAGTCTGACGGGATGCGGCATCAACCGACCTTTCGCCATCAACCCCTCCACCAGCGTCGTGAACATTTTCGCAAACTCCAAATTCCGCCGACTTGCCGGGAAATGCTTGCCGAACTTGTCGAACGCCTCGCCCGCAAACGTCACGAGCACGCTGAAACTGTGCTTGACATCCGTGCGCGGGATGTCATTGAAGAGAATCGTGCCGTATTTCTTGTCAGCGTGAGGGTCGCGGGAGAGGGATGCCATGCATATGTCCACGCCGTCGTCTGAGCCGATCGTGTCCCATACCAGCTTGAGTTGGCCGGACGTGTATGCGTGGATCTTCTGGCCGCAGGTTGAGTCGCGGTAGTCGAAGACGGCTTCGGCGCCGCGGGATTTGCAGAGGTCGAAGTTGCGAGGCGAGCAGGTTGCGAGGACGGTGTAGCCGGCGCTGTTGAATGCGTGCATGTTAGTATCAGCATCGGCATAACTCAAATTTGGAGGGAGTTGTTGTTGTTGTTGAGAGAAAGAGTGGCGAGGGACTCGTAGTTAGTAATAGGAAGAGTAGTAAAAACGCACAATGTGAGGAATTGAATAGCCAAAGTTCCCGCAGACGTACTTCCACCATAGATCAGAATGTACTCTTTCTCGCCCTCCCCGACTCCCGTTCCCGCTCCCGCTGGTAGATCCCCCGCCTCCCCATCGACCGCAGGGAGTCTCAATCCCATCTCCTGAAAAAGGCCCTGTCCCGCCGTAATCGCACTCGCAGCGATCGTCGCAGCCTCATCGAAGCCCCACGTCTCAGGCACTTTCATACAACAATCGCCCTTGACAGCAATGATCTCGGCCCAGGCCCCATCTTCGGCCTCGTTGAAGTTGGCCCCGTGCGCGAATCCGCACACTCGATCGCCCTTCGCGAATGGCTTTGTCACCTCCGCACCGACCTCCAACACCACGCCGGCAAAGTCGCTACCAAGAAGACCGTTGAGGGCGGCGCGGCGGGTGGCGATGGATTTGGCGTCGGTTGGGTTGAGGCCGATGGATACGCAGGATACTAGGAGGTAGTCGGGGCGGAGGCGGGGATGGGGACGATCGGTGACGAGTTCGGCGCGGACGCCGGTCCAGATGACCGCTTTCATCGAGGGAGGTGGAGGTCAAGTTTCACGAGGACTGGACAGGTGAGTGACAAATTTTCGGCTTTAGGAGGTATGTGAACAAAATTGACACCGTTCTTGCAAGGTTAGGCCCTTTTATTGTATACTACGTGCCATGATGAAAGATCGTCTCAACGGCACTTTCAATGGCCCATGTCAAGGTGTCAGTGGAGCTTAACTAGAGGGCTTGTGTCGCCGTCTTGCGCTTTTGAAAGCTGACAAATTCGTCCACCAAAAAGGCCGCTCACCCAGCTCCGGTATGCTTGAGCGATAGGACTTAAGAGGGACCCCCAAAAGTCCGGTACGTCCTCGAAACTCGATACAATCAGACAGGGGGAAGAAAAAGCTTGCTCTTGAGCCTTTTAGCTGTGTTGAATGTCCGGAGATTAAGTATTTTCATATACTTGGGGATCACAATGTACGTTGAAACATGCTTGTCGCCGGAAACGACGATTCCAAATCTCCCTTCTTCGAAGACATAGTCACGAATCAACAGAGTCAATGCTTCGCGAGGCCTCTACTCTCAGCTCTTTTGCTCTATTCCCCCCCTCAGCCTAGAAGTCTTTTATTTCTCGACAAGCTTCAGAATCTTCATCACCTGCTCCTCGGTCACCAGCGGAATCGGGTTCGTCCTACACCACGGATCTTCCAAGCACTTTCTCGCCAGGTCCGTCAATTTCTCTTGCCCCTCCACTCCGACCTCCCTCAATGTCCTCGGCATACCGAACTGGCGAAAAAGCGCATCGAGAACATCCCCGAGGTCGGCGGAAGACTGCGTCAAATTGCAACGAGTCTCGAGCGTCTCACGAATGTACGGGTCGGACCAGAGGGCGTTGAGAGCCCGTTGTTGACGATGCCCGTTGACGCTGGCGTTGTATTTCATAACCGTGGGGCAGAGGACGCAAGATGTGTGTCCGTGTGCGACGTTCATGGTGCCCAGTTCGTGTCCAATGGCGTGTGAAGCGCCCAGGTGGACGCCTCTACATAGGCCTGAAGATAGAAAAAGGTCAGAACAACATTGTTCCAGAACACAAACACCAGCGTGCCAGTTTGAGCAGCTCAAGCCCCGAAAAAAAAAAAAAAAAAAAAAGACTGGCAGGGGGAAACATACCGTCCATGGCCAAAACCGATCCAAACTGCGTTTCTAGCCTAGCTTCCAGGTCCTGTGGCTCCCTTCTCAGCTTCAAAAGCCCTCTTACCAGCAGAACCAACCCCTTCTCCGCCGCCTCGTCCGTCTCCTCCTCAATCGCGGGATTCAGGCTCCCCAATAACTCGACGCAGTGGTCGATCGCTCTCACCCCGCTACTCATCCACACCCACTCGGGCGAATTGGCCGCCAGTTCCGGGTCCAAAATCACCACGTCCGCGAAGAGACCCTGGTGCACAAAGATCTTCTTGACGCCGTCCGTGGCGTCGATCCCGCCTGCGTAGGGTGAGTATTCCCCTGCAGAAAGCGTGGTCGGAACGTTGATCATGGTGAAAGGCGGAGCATGCACATCTGGAGGATCCGAGTCCGTGACGTATTTGTAGTCAATGTCGTGCAGCATCGCAGCTTTCAGCTTGTCACTCATCGCGCCGAGCGCATGGAGGGACGTAAGGCCATTCGCCAGACTCAACCCGGCGAGCTTGACGCCGTCGGTGATGGAGCCGCCGCCACACGTGACCACGATATCTGCGTTGCTCTGTTTTCTGTTTGTCCACTCCTTGAAAGTTAGAGATCGTCTGATTCTTGTTTTATTTACCTCCTTTGACGGAATTCAATTTTCGGTATCCGATGTCCTAGGAGCGCGTCCAAAAAAAAAAAAAAAATGCCTTCGCACAACAAAGCAGTCGAAAAGACTGTAAGCCTACGCAGGGGAGGGGAGAGAAACTCACATCTCTTCGGCCAACTTCAGCACGTGTGTCCATGGTGTGTGACTTGGAAATCCGACATTGATACCCACCAGCTTGTCTCCCAACGCATCCTTCAGCTTTGTCACGCAGTCTGTATGCTTAGCCAGCGATCCCGACACCACGAGGAAGACGCGCTTTTTGGCCAGTCGATCCACGTGTTTGGAGACCAGTGCAGGGAAAGGCAGACCCGAAGAGACCAAGCCACGGGAACGCCATGGGAAGGTTGGTAACGTCCTCTCTTCGCCCAACAAGGGCATGGGACTGACAGACCCCATTTTTATGTTTATTTTTGTCGCGTTAATTTGTCGTCGTCGTGTCGTCGTCGTCGTCGTCGTTATTGCTTGCCTGGTTCGTTTTCGACTGGACTGACTGTGTCGAGGCCCTCCTTTTCTGGACGAGATCCCTTGAGTATGTAACAGCCAGCGATCTTCACCCCAGACCACCAAGAGACAACCTCTTATTACACCAGGATCAAATAAACAACAATACACGGTCTTAAAACCGAGTGCAAAGTCCGATCCAAAACCTCTGACCTTCACGAAACCTTGCACAAGCCTTGGCCGCGGGGCTATTTGGTCGTCCTTTTCCAATTCCCAGATGACAAATAGAGGTCAATATGTAATGGGAGGACTTGCAATCCACAGCGTGGACAGTTCTCGTCAGCCGTCAGGTGGAGAAGTCAGCGCAGATTCTGGAATCCATGCACGCGTCCACTGCCAGAACTTTGCTATTGAAGGTGTACGCGATGACCAGCGATATGGAGAGATCGGGAAAGACGTTTGATGTCTGCAGAGTTGGCGACTTCGAATGCCGAGGGTTCGTCAAGCTGAGGGCCAATCCCATTGAAGGCCAAGACGGCGTCTTGGTGGAGAGGGTCTGGCGCCGCCTCATGACACTTTGCCGGGTCTAGTTAGCACAATTCCATTTCCTCCACTGGACCAACCGCATTTGTAGTTTCCCTGCCACAAGCCTCTCCAGTCCCTCCAGTCTTTTCCCACCTACTCGGGACTCGGAACTTCTGGGTGTGCACAGTCTAAAGCGACCACCTCGAAGTTCGAAGACTGTTGACAATCGGCAAAAACGCCACGCACCCCATCTCTCCTCATAAGACATGCTCTGTGGCCGACGTCCTCGAGTTATGGCTCCACCTTGTAGCGAAGCGGGACAGCACCGGAAGGACTGCACGTATTGACGAGAAGCGAGCGCAGAGCCTCGTTGATGTCGACCTCAAGGCTGTCAGAATGGATTTCTCAAGGTTTAAAGTTCAACCCCATGATGATGGAAACATATGATAGCCAAGACAGCTTGGTGGTTTATTGCGAAGAACAGGGACACATGCCTTATTATCCAAGTTTTTTTGCTGTGCTTCAATGAGGCTTTACTATGTATGCAATATATATCGAAAGTGTCAATTCTCAAAGTGGCCAACATGGATCGCGTTGTTCTCGACAAGCAACCATCCTGAAACGTATTTTGGCATCGTGCGCTTGAGAGACGATCAAGCTGTCCAATTTACAGGCCGCAGGGGGCCGCAACGAGACATTCCTGTCCACTGCTCACTGTTCACTGTCCACTCTCCCAACTCCCTCAAGCCGCAGACCGCGTAACAGTCTCAACGTGCAGAGGAGACGCCACCACCTGCGGATTAGACACCTTCTCGTCAGAAAGCGACAGGGACTGAACCACTCCATTGTCCTCCTCGACAAAGTGTTTAGTCTCCTCCCAGGACTCGGCGACCTTGTCACCAAACACACCGGCGATGTCCTCGAGCGTCTTGTTCTTCGTTTCTGGATAGTAGAAGTACACAATGACCACGTAGAGGCAGTCGAGAACCAGCCAAATGATAAAGTACTTCCAGGTCATGGCAGCGATCGCCAGTGGCGCGGTCTGGGTCATTAGCACCCCCATGGCGTTGAAAACGATGTAGCCTGCCGCCACTCCTGTCGCGCGGATCTTGGTTGGCATGATTTCTGATGCGTACTAGAGAAAAGGGGTGGTTAGTAACCTAGGATTCTCTTGTGTGTGTGTGTGTGTGTGTGTGTTGATGTGGGTTTGTGAAAAGAAGATTCAGGACTCACTGTGGTGCCAAAGGTATTCATAACAGCCGCGTATCCGAACACGGTGAGAAAGATACCAACGTTGATGCCCTTTGCTAGTCCGAGATTGCTCTGCCCGCCGTGCTCAAAGGCAGCCCACAGACCGACAATAATGATCGATGCAGGAATCATGATGGTGTAGGAGAGGAACTGCAACAACCAGATACTGTCATCAGCCGAGCACGAACGAATAAGGGGGATCGAAAAAGAATCTGAACCCACCAGAGCATTTCGACGGCCGATCTTGTCGAACCAAAAGCCGAGACTGAGAACCGCGAATGTCGAAACACTGCCCCAGACTCCGACGAGTACGAGTGACATGACCGGGGTGGTTTTCAAGAGCGTGTAGATTTGCACCTGGTAGACCGCCTGAGGCAAAATACCAGTTGCCCTGTGCAAATCTCGTCAGCTTTCCACCCCCTTCCTCTCTCTCTCTCGGAAGCTATAAGGAGGTGAGGTGCCGGAAAACTTACTGTTGGAAAAAATAAAAAGCCATGATCAGAACCACTCGTCGACGGTAAGAAGGCTTCATGACGATATCTTTGACCCCGATCTTATCCCTCTTCTCCAATTCGATCTGGGCTCTGATTTGATGGAATTCGCGTGCAAAGAACGAATCCGAGTCGTCCTTCTCATTGCCGTGGATCCGCTTGAGCACGGCGAGACAGTCCTCATATCGGTCGGTCAGGGCCAGCCACCGTGGTGACTCAGGCATCCACGGAGACCCTGCGAGCATACATAACCCGGGGAGGAGTTGGAACCCGAAGAGGATGCGAAAGGCGGCATTTCCAGGGATGAAGTACAGACCAAGTCCGATCCAGACGGTGAGACAATTGGCCAAGGAGATGTTGAGCCTGTTCAAGTGGGGAAAGAAAAGGGGTCAGTTCTTGGTCAAAAAGGGGCCAGAATGCCTTTTTTGGGACGAGAAACCAGTGGGTGGGAGGAATACTTACGCGAATAAAGCACCTGCTCTTCCACGCATCTGAGGCGGAGAGATCTCACTGGCGTAAACGGGACAAATCCCAAAGATGATTCCCGTGGCAATGCCCCCGATGATGCGGCCAATCAAGAGCATGGCAAAGTTGACGGCCGCAGTCTGGAGAATGATTCCCACAAACGAGATCAAACACCCGATCCGGATCGTCCACAACCGGCCATACCTGTTGGGCAAGTACCCATTCATCGCGGTCCCGACGGCACAAGCGGCATAGTAGGCCGAGTTGAAGGCGCCAATGGTTGTCGGAGTGAAGCCGTAGTAACTGATGAATTCGGAGTATCCCAAAACGCACGAGATAATTCCTGGATTTGTGATCAGCAATGTCCCGGGAAAGTGGTTTCTTAAGTGTCAGTCTGTATGTTTCGCGTGGCACTAAAAAGACTAAAATCCGTGCCGATGGTACTTCTCATATGGGGGGATAGACAGATATGATGAACAAAACATGGAAACATACCAAAGTCGTATCCGTAAAAGGCACCACCAAACGTAATGTACATCAAACAAAGGATTTGGAATTTGTTCATGATGGGCGGTTACAGAGAGGCAAGTCTGCCTTCTCAAAACGTTCTGAAAGGTGCGAGATGTTTGGTCGTGTAGGCTGGCCAGATAACCTATACGTAGATAGGCTGGTAGAAATGGTGCAAGCTCGAAAGTTTTTCCAAGTGATCTCCAACGAATCTGGTGCCTGTGAGTTTGGAAGGAAACCAGCACGGGCGACAACGGTAGTCTGTAGGCTGTTTTATATATTGCGGTCCCCCGCGAAGCTCAAAATTCGAAACTGAGGAAGGACTGGTGTTACACTTTATTCTTTCAGTCCGCTCTTCGTCAAGTAAAGAGGGGACTTGGATGTGGGTGTTCGAGATTAAATCGACACAATCGTGTTCTCAGCAGTAGAGAGAGTTGAGACCTCGTCCAGAAGGTCCGAGCAGCCTTGTTTGTGAGTACAGTGGTTCAACTTCTTCGAGACCGGGCCGTCAACATACTGCGACTTTAGTCTTTCCGCACAATATTCGCAAGCCAAGGATCTATCGTATACAGTTAGCCGGCTCCCATTTGCTCTCGAATTGGGCATAATGCCGGGGACTCACAACCTACGAATCACGAAGGAGTGGTGTTCGGCTTCATGATGTCGCGTCAAGTCTGTGGAGATTGAGGCCTCCCCACGGGGATTCGAGAGCGTCACTTGGGGTTAGGTAGGAGAAACAACAGTAGAAACAGTGGTTTAGGACGGATTTAGTGTTGTTATCGTATCCAGAAGCTGTTCATTCTTCTCGGGTTCTTGATAATGTACGAGGTATAACGGTGCCAAGATGCCGTTATCGAAAGTATTTGCGAACCTCGTGTAGTGACTTTCTGCCGCATCACTGGCGTCTTGGGAGTTCGGGGCATTTCGACCTCGGCCAACAATCACTCGCGATGTCCTATTCGACTGAGGTAGTGGATCTTCAGTCTGTTGGATACGGTGACAAGTCTTACTCGTCCGCTTGTTCGTCCGTGTCCCTGTCTCCTGGTGGTATGACCTGATGCTGCATCTCAAGTCGTGATATTCTAACACAGCAGCTGACAACCGTGAGTAGTACTCCGGTCTTGCGAGAGGTCCCACATTTTGCATCCGGATCAGTCCTGCACAAGTACCTGGACCTTGTCAAAGAGACAAACACCGGAAAATATATGGTCTACCAGTTGTCAGTGACTCGGTGTTGAATAACAAAAGACTAAGGTTCGGTGTGCGGCACTCATCGTTCCAAATCCAGATCCATTCGAGAATTACTACCAAGGTAGCATCAGTCCTTCTCAAGTCAGACACAATCCAAAAGGCCTTTAATCATGAGTGTGGATGTCGATGCGCTCTCTGCCGCTGGGGCTGTGGCAATAGACAGTCGAGAGAAGGAACCGATCGCCAATGGCATCGACCACGTCGATAAGACTCTCGTTGATGAGATTCCAAAGCACGAGCAGCAGAAGCCGACGAATTGGGTGGATATACGAGACGAATTCTTGGGCAAGCCACATGTTCGATTGAGAGTCATAACAATCGGCGCGGGATTCAGTGGTGGGTGTGCTTGAGAACCATTTCGACTCCTAGAAGCCGTGGCCGACGGGTCACAAGTCATCATGCTGAATTTTTCTCTCTGTCAGGGTTGACAATGGCAAACAAGATTCA